ATTATTGGTCAAAACGGCTCTCATGTCCCAATCTCAACTTGTGTTTCACTATCTACTGACATTTATTTGAAACAAATACAGGGTGGTTCAAGATTCAGGATTCTGATCACCCTGTATATGTTTCAATTGAATGTTAGTAGATAGTAAATCACAAGTTGAGATAGGGACATGAGAGCCGTTTCGACCAATAATGAATAGTTTCGACACAAAAAAATGTTAAAGTTGAAAAATCTCGATTTTGAACACTTTATATCCCTGAAACCATCACAGCTAGACCCCAAGTATGATGCATTGATGAAATCAGCTCTTCGGGGAGAATCTAAAAATGCAATAAAATACAAGGTGTACCGTTTGAAATAACAAAGTTGTTGCTTCTTTTCGTTAGCAGCGGCAACGCCGCAGGGCTGAAAATATTGTAAAACGATGTCCCCCTCGAAAATGTAGTTGACGTGTTTCAGATTTTTTTCATAATCCGGTTTTGGCGACCTACAGAGCCTCTGTTTCGTTTTCAAAGGCCCACTCTGTATAGAACTAAACTAAAGCTGTCACAGCCACTCTCCTGTGCCATAGCCTGTTCTCGAGCTGAACAATCCCGTTCCACAATCCGCAAAATGATCATTGTGGACTAGTACGGTTCGGGGTTTATGGAACTGGATTCTCTGGATATCCGAGCACTGAAGCAGACAGACTATTCCCCCGACCTTGTGCCCTTCACGCAATAAAGGAGGATGACCGCACTTGTCGAATCAAATTAATTACATGTAGTCGAGTCGCGACTGGGATTATACAGGGTGTTTCCTACTACTACAGTACGAAACATCAGAGGGTGATTCGTTAGATTGTTTTGAGAGAAAAAGTTCCTACGGACATATCTAGAGTTGCTTCGTTTCTGACATACAGAGCATTTAAGCTTAGAAAAAAAAACGGTATAGGTCTTTATAATATATCATACATATCCCTAAACCGGTTTGGTTGATATTTTGTACGGATATTTGAATTTTGAAGTAAGACAAATGGGCGAGATGTTTCTTCCATATTAATAAAAAATTGTTTTCCATGTTCATACATATTATGCAATAGAATGGCTTTTTCTCCGAAATGAAAGCTGGGGGAAGTTGATATGAAGGAGAGCAGGAGACCAAGAAACTATTTGTATTTTTAGTTGCTGATCTAAAATCAGTGGCATACTTTTCTTCTCAATACAATTGGCTCTGGTGACCCTACTGAGACGCCACTGCAACTAAATAATCTCAATCTAGTTCAAAGGCCTGTATCTCACAAACTTAGTAACTCTGGACATAATAATTATGTTCATAGGAACACCATCATACCCGTAGTAGTTAGTACCTTGTACAAAATATAATGGCAGATTTTCGACTTCATGGATATATCATAGTCTCCAATCTAAGGATTTTTGGACTAAGAATGAATCATAATTGGCTTATATCACAAAAAAAACATAATTCGATAGAACTCACCCAAACTAGCTTACCACCGCAAACCGTTTCTTGCTGTGAGCTCCCTACGTTTCATAAAAAATTATTGAAATACCCGATTTTTCTGACCTCTGAAAACGAGGCGAGGTGACGTCAAAACCCTTACACTGAAACAAGACTATTCCAGACAGAGATGAATGATACATGATTTCTGACATCAGAGTGAATTAGCGCGAGATCACAGTTGAAAGGATTCGAGAAAGGATTAATATATCAGTTGCCTCAGTCTCCGTCGGGCGTTTGGTATTTTCTTTCAACTATAGCGAGATGAGGTTTCCACGTCATAAGAGGGTCCGTTGTCAGAAGGTACTATTATTTATGTCCAAAAATAAAACATTCCGGTTTATTTTTCGATCGAATTATGTCGTCAATCATTATTTATGTATAAAAGGATCATCATAAACATGGTTTGAGTCGAAAGTTCTACTAAGGTGTACATGCCCATTTACTACCTATCTACTTCAAGGTCTTTTCCATATGGCAGATTGATGCGCTATTGTATTAACTTTTTTGTTCTCCAAGTTAGCATACTATTTTCATTGAGAAGTATACATATAGCAGACTCGTCATCTTAACAAAATTGAGTTATATCTTACTTGTTTTCCGTCCCAAGACTCTATATAGTATTCCAGATGATAATATTTCAGAAATCACAGCTACAAAATTCTCATTTAATTCGCATTATGGGAAATATCAACGAAGTAGATTCACGCTGACAATATGTTTTCGAATCTTGGGAATAGAAATTATCCTTGACGTCCGTCTACTACGTCAATATTCTCAAGCTGTCAAATCATCAGTATATAGTGCCTACTTTACTATTGCCCCTAATAAATCGAATGAGCGAGAATTATGCAGCTGATTGCTAAAATGTGACCAAGTTTTTGGATTGATTACAAGTATAACTCATTTTTGTTGAAATGATGAGTCCTTAATATTGTTTAATGAAAATGAAGCTAACCTGAACAATAAACAAGTTAAGAGCACAGTAATGCCATAAAAGTGGCATAGGTGGCGCCCTCTATATAATATATTAAATGAGGTATCAAATTATGATTCTCATACACAAAAACCATTATTGTTCCAAAATTTAGATGTTTCCATATTCCAGAACGTTATTGCAAGTAATAAATTTAGTTTTCGAAGTCAAAAACCTATCATACTTCTATCGTACTTCTATGCACAATTACTCTAGGACCAGCCTCTATATTATGTGGGTTGGCTTAGAAGTCCTGAGGGCATCAGGGCCGGATCATCGACATTTCTAGAATAGTTGAACATTTCAGTAAAAAAAAAAATCGAATCATGTGAATAAGCAACGATGTTGAGTCATGACATAATAACTGAAATCGTATATGTTTTTTGCATTTTGAAATAAGAACTATGTTATCATAGATTTTCTCTCATCCGTAGTTTTAGTTCAAATTGAATTGTTGTATGTGGTGGAGTTGATTTATGATTCATATCACCACCACTATGTGTGGTATGTCTTTCAAATTTCACCAAGCAAAGCTCTTCCTTTTGAAACCATTCTGGACACTCGTTTCTAAGAAAACCACGATAGGTGTGCTACAGTAAATACATTGAGAAATAGTATTAAGAAAAATTATGGAAGTAGGTACCTGGAATACATTCACAACGGTTTATTTTCTTGAAATTGAGTATCATCATCCGAAAAAGTGAAGATTTTTAAAATTGCGACATTTTTACCTACTGTGCCAATTTCAGTTGTACCTAATTGAAATTCTTGAGAATAATAATCAATCAATGCAATGAAACCTATAGATGGTTCTACACTTTTTATAAACGCTGTATCATAATGAGACATGTATAAGAACATTCTTCGGAAAAACAATTACAAATATGAATTATGAATTGTGTCTGGGTATGTATACAGGGTGTTTCGAAATTCGACCGACAACGTTTGACAGGTGATAGCCCTCGTGATTTCATAATCATTGAGATAGGAACATTCGGTCTTCAAGTGTTCAGTTCTCGAGATACAGGGCGTTGAAGTTGAGAAATGAAAATAGTTGTTTCGCAATATCTCAAGAATAATTGAATATAATGCATTCAACTTCGGTATATGGTTTCATCTTTGAATGGGCCATTTTTTGACCTGGAAGCCATTCCGGACATTTTGTCCAGTGGTGCCCTACAGGGGGTTGTGGCATTTTTTCCTTCCATATTTTCTACGCCACTGATTGAATTTCGATTATTTCCAATTCCTCGAATTCATTGTTCAATTTTGTTCAGAAAATGCATCACCTTCAACTGAGCTGAAATAAACAGTTTTCGAGATATTCGACCCAAAATAGAAGATTGCATAGTAATATTTCATCATTTTCAGTAGTAGAAAATTGCAAAAATATTTTTCTGGTGTTGAGTAGATTACATACTATTCAGATCTCATTCTGTAGCTGAACAGAAACAGTTATTTCACTCATAAAGAGAAAACAAAAATTTTTGTAATCTTCTACTACTGAAGAAGATGAAAAATTACAATGCAAACTTCTATTTTGGGTCAAATATCTCGATAACTGTTCATTTTAGCTTAGTTGAAGGTGATGCAGTTTTTCAATATAATTGAACAATCAATTCGAGAAATTTGAAATAATCGAAATTTCATCAGTGGCGTAGAAAATATGGGAGGAAAAGTTATCACAACCCCCTGTAGCGCACCTCTGGGTAAAATTCTCGGAATGTCTTTCTGGTCAAAAAATCAACCATTGAAAGATGAAACCATATACCGAATTTGAATGCATCAAATTCAGTTTTTCTTGAGATATAGCGAAAAACCTATTTAAATTTCTCAACTTCAACGCCCTGTATCTCGAGAACTGAACACTTGAAGATCGTATGTCCCTATCTCAGTGATTATGAAATCACGAGGGCTATCACCTGTCAAGCGTTGTCGGTCGAATTTCGAAACACCCTGTATATGTATATGTATACTTATAGATGAGCCACAAGTATATTTAGGTTTACAAAAACGTGAAAATATTCTTTGGTTTAGTGCGGCAGATTACTGTATCTGAAAATCAGTTCATGTACCATTCTCGTACTACTCAGATATACAGGGTGATTCAACTTTTCAGAACCAAAATAACGGAAGTGGTTAAATAAGATTCGTAAATCGAAAAAATGAAAATAATCATAAAATTCTGTTATTCACCAGTCCGCATCATCTATTATGGTATAGGTTATCCCTAAATCTGAATGTATCTCATTGGATGCAGCCACAACCCAGCCAAATAATTATTATTTTTACTGAAAATCTTCAAAATACTGAATCAAGCTATATCTGATGAAGAACATAATTATTGTTCTTAATAATCAACTAACAATCATTATTTATACTGTCATTGTAAAAACACTTTTACTGCCATCAATTCATGGAATAGTCTAATAATTAGGTATTCCTTAATTATTGCCGATTCATATTGGCCTATTTTAAGCTTCAATTGGTGCCTTATGATCAGCATAATTGTATATTTTTTGCAGATTACATTGCCAGGTATGGAAGAATGACCGAGGATCAATCCAGGACAAAGTTTTGGCAAATTTTGTCTGCTGTAGAATACTGCCACAATCGTAATATAGTGCATCGAGATTTAAAGGTTAGTAGGTGTTTTGTTTCTTTATTGTTTTCACCATTGAGATGCCGTGAAGAGAAAAGGAGGACTGATCAATCGAATCAACACTAAGATTCATTGTCATTTTAGAAATCGAATTATGTAGCCAATTATCTTTCGATCTAAATTTCATCCTTATTGAAAAAATCATCGCAGAAATTGGTTTCATGAAACTAGTGTAAACAATTAAATACACATAATGACATGAAAACAATCAATCAAAAAATCTTTGTTGGAAGTCCATCGTTTCTCGATGTGGAGTCTAGTGGTAAATACTGAATAATACACAAAATCTCCACGACAATTTACTGTGAGTAATTACATATTAGGGGTACATCATCAGCCGTAAAAGAAATTGGTCCTACAATAAAAACAATTAGGTATATCACTCAAATCTTTATCATCATAAGGTACCTTACAAGAAGGTGAAAAAATTGTGTGCAATATTGGAAGTCACATAAGCATTGCAAAATTGGACTGGTTTATTATTTAAATAGGGGAAATAATACCATCATTACATTTTCCACTTGATCATATAATTCTACATTGGTTTATATGTTCCTCTCCTCTTTTATCTATAGCTAAGCAATTTTATAGATATGAAAGATATAAGAAACTAATCATATATTCAAGTATTTTAATACCGTCTGGGGCGTCTGGGTATTTGGTATTTAAATATTCTGGGAGTATTTAAATACCTATTTCAGATATATTCAAATACTCCACTAAACTATTTGCAAATACTGAGTTATGATTATATTCCAACAAATATTTGTAAGTATAAATATAATTACCTAAACAAGATATGTATTCAATACTTGAAAGCATTTGTGAGTACAAATAATATTCATATCATTTGCTCTGATTAATCTGATTTGATACCCAAGTCGTATTTCTATTGGCCGAAAATTCGTATCATAATGGGAAATATGTGTCTTCATTGGGCAAAATTTGTATCATACTGAAAATCCTAGTTGGAATGGAAAATTTTAAGAAATCGGTTGCAGATATAGTAGAAAAATAATTCTTTTCGAACTTCTTTTCATCTCGCTCAAAGACCTCTATTCTCGTAATGGAGGATTCTCGATGCTTTGTGAGGACTCTCTCCAGAGGAGCTTCGCAAGATGTCGAAAACTCTTTTTGATGACGACTCGATCTCGACTCTGCCAATCGATTTTCGCGATGACGTCAGAGGGGTGCGAGTTGCAAGGTGCAACGATGAGGAAAATGGAAAATTCTACTCTCTTCCTCGCTCATTCCTTCTCCCCTGATGATTCCGTTCTCATCTGGCTTATAACTGGCATTAGACAATATGAGCTTTCTCATTTTTTTTTTCATGTCCCACAAACCGACAACTTTTATGAGTCCTACTTTCAATTGAAAAATATTGGAACGCAAGATTGAATCCCCAGTTAATGAATTGGACGACCTGATTTCAAATGTCAGAATCGTAACTCAAAAATTATTTAAGATACAGAGGGGTGCTTCTATTAGAAGTGAGACACACATCCGCCGAGATTCTACGGCAGCTATACAGGGTGGACCAATAGTGTGACAAAGCGAGATTGCAGCTCTGCTATCGGAGATGAAAGAACAACATTTTTACAGGAATTGTAGGTCCAAGAGATGCATATTTCAAATTATCCTCCATATCAAACTTATGTTTTTTTATATGAAACACCCTGTATTTTATTGCATTTTTATATTCTCTCTCAAGAGCTTAACTCAACGATCTAGCGCACTTGAAGTCTAACGATATAGGGTGTGCAGAATGGAGATTTTTCAACTTTGAGAATATCTTGGTCGAAGATATTCATCATTTGTCGAAAGGGCTTTCATGTCGCTATGTTAACTTTTGATTTACTATCTACTCATATTGAATTGGAACAGATACAAGGTGGTGTAGAATTCTCCACCCACCTGTATTTTTTTCAATTAAATGTCATTAAATAGTGAATCAAAAGTTGAGATAGGGATCTGAAAGTCGTTTTGACCAATAATGAATAGTTATGTCACAAAAAATTCTCGAAGTTGAAAAATCTCGAATTTCCACACCCTATATATCGGTAATCATTCCTGCCAGACCCCAAGTGTGCTAGATCGTTGAATTCAGCTCTTCAGAGAGAATATAATTATGCAATGAAATACAGAGTGTTCCATTTAAAGAACACAAGTTAGATATGTCCCACTTATTTGAGACACACTGTAGAATGGAGAATGATTTTAAAATATGCATCTCTTGAACTTACAACTCCTTTGAAAATTCTCTTCTTCTATCTCTAATAGCAGAGTTGCTATCTCGCTTTGTCACACTATTGATCTACCCTGTAGTAGAAGTGTAGAATGCCAGAAATCGCAACATTGTCATCGTGCGTTCAACACCACATCTTTGATGTATGCCAATATATTTATTTCCATCAAAAACTGAGAAAAAATAACCTCATTAAAGTGTATTTATACAGGGTGTTCCTTAATGACATGCTAATATTCAAGGGAGCAATTTCTGGCCCCATTTCAAGAATAAAACTTCATATGGACGTATGTCGTAAACGTCCTAACTTTTGAGATACAGGGTGTTAAAGTTGAAAATATGCATAGATTATTTTTTATCCACCCTGTATAGCTTCTCGTGATGAAAAAATTCAGCCTGCTGTGTAACTGAAATGGTGCAAAAATTTTAAAATGTTACAATTGATGTCCTGAATATAGTACTCAGCTTAGCATTTACATCAAAATTTGAAGTCTGGTCTCGTTTTTCCGTTTTTTCTTGAGAACGGAGTGTTCTATCGAGTATCGACAAAGGATCTTTTTTGTACAGAATTGAATGGCCCTTCATAGGATTATATGAAATTTGGAAATTTTTACTTCGATGCTCACTTTTAACACGTTGACTACCAAGCCTGATTTCAACATTCTGACTCAGGGTACCATATGTATCACCGGTGATGCTTTTTCATAGTTCACTTCTGTACTTTATGTATCACCAGTGATAATGAACACATATTATTTGAATGCTTGTAGAGAAGCCTAGTGTATAAACGAAGGAATTAGATTGTGGGTATGGTACAGGTATGAACCAAATAATATCGGGTTCAAGTGGGTATCACCAGTGATACACATAGATCTGGAAAATGCCTATAGAAATTGACTGGATTATTCTGATGAAAAGACGCACCGCTCACTCTCTTGTCAATTTTTTATTGAAATTTTTACACTCATAAGTAAAAAATAATCTTATCAATAATCATTGTACAAAGGAAATACTAATGTTTTTTTTTTTGAAAACAGTCCAAACCTCGGTCCAAACAGTATGAAGGTTTCTCGGGGCATTCCGCGTATAAGGTGGTAACCAATTTTGTATGTTTTGCTGCCTTCTTTGAATTTTTGCGTACTCCTCAAAATACGTTTTTCGTCTTAATTGTCCTTTATTTTCTTATGAAGGTTTGAATGAAGGCGCTTATAATCGAAGAAAAACAACAAAATATAAGGAGTTCCCTATAATCATATGATGAAATGGTTCATTTATGTACAATGTGAATCACCGGTGATCTTTCAGCAAACTCTATCGAGAATCGAGATGAAGGCATCTGCTTCAAAATACAATATAGCAACATCTTGTAGCGAAAGGCTACGTTTTAAGTTTGATTCTTCACTTGGTACAGAGAGGAAGTATGCGATTTTTTACGGTGGTTTGTAGAGCAAATGAGAGTGTGCATCACATGAGACTCATATGGTAGCCAACGTGTTAAGTAAAATATAAACAATAATATCCTCCAAACGGCGCCACTGGTAGAGAAAATGAAAATTTGTGTGCATCAGAAAATGTACCTTGATGCATAGAGGACATGTACCAAATTTGGTGAAGATGTCTACAATATTATCTCAGATATTATTGAAAAACGGATTTTTTTTTCAAAACTTTATCGCCCTGTATCTTAAAAGTTGAGATTTTCAAGACATACGTTCATTGGAAGTTTTCATCTTAAAATGAGTCAAAGAATCACCCTCTTAACTATTAGCATGCCTTCAAGGAACACCCTGTATATTTGAAATCAGAAAAAAGAGCTCTCACTCCTATGTTGTCAATTTCTCTCTTTCCAAGCACCACATAGGAGTTCAATATTACTAGATCATTGAGAACCTGTCTCGAATTGAGTTTTCTTTTCATCATTTTATTTAATGTGGTTTTCTGTGTTTTTTCAGGCTGAAAATCTTCTTCTAGACTCCAACAATAACATAAAAATAGCCGATTTCGGTTTTTCCAATTACTACACGGTCGGCGGGCAATTGTCCACGTGGTGTGGTTCTCCGCCTTACGCCGCCCCCGAAGTTTTCGAGGGCAAGAAGTATGTCGGCCCCGAAATCGACATATGGGTGAGTTATTGGATTTTTTCCTGCTTGCTCCGACTCTATCGATTTCGAATTAGCGCTGTTATGTACCAAATTGATAGAAAATAATGTAATGGGTTGTGAGTTGTGATGAAATGTGACTTTCTGTTCTGGTATTGGAGTCATCCAGATTGCTTGATTAAAATATGAATAACCATTCCGAACGTTAGGCAATATTTGTTGTATAAGTGAGTATAAATTGAAACAAATCTAGTAACTATACCCATTACAATTCGAAACAGTCGAGGGGTAAATCTCCAGGAAAAATGTGCACACCAGACTTTCAATGAACAAAGACTTCCAAAGACTCCCAAATACTTCCAAAGACATCCAAAGACTTCGAAAAACTTCCAAAGACATCCAAAGACTTGAAGACTTCAAATGACTTGACTCACTCACAACTAAAGACTTTGAGCCAATATCAATAACGTCCATGGATTTTCGAAGCCTTCCATCAATCGATTGAAGCACAATAAACAATTTAGCTAGGACACTAAATGTTCATATTAGCAGTTCAGTTTCAACAATGTTCGCTTCTACAGATATATTATGTTAATAATATCTCAAAGATTGACTATACCAGTATACGAAATATATTTATGTATATAGGTTCAGATGCTTACGTAATTATATTAATTTGGTAAGTTTCCTGTTCGTGCGAGAAAATTTCAATACAAAAAAAGGATAATGTTCAAGTATTTCCTTAGAATTTCAAAAACTGTCAATGATTACCGAAGACATCCAAGGACTTCCAAAGACTTCCAAAGACTTCCAAAGACTTCCAAAGACCTCCAAAGATATCCAAAGACTTCCAAAGACTTCCAAAGGGTTTCAAAGACTTTCAAAGAATTCCAAAGACTTCAAAAAGAATTCCATAGACTTCCAACGGAGTGTACACCAGACTTCCAAGGAGATTTACCCCTTGGAAACAGTTGAAATAATGATTGTTTCCGTGTCTATCTTTGGGATAGACCTCGATTAAAGGTTCATTCGGGTTCCGATTTCAGAACTGTTCAAGAATCGTTCTCGAACTGCGTAGAACTAGTGCGCAGTTGTTTCGAATCCTAGGACTGCTTCAGCACGGTTCACAAATTATGAAACCCCGAACGCGGCAGAAGGATACCTCTGAGAACATAACCTCTATTCAGAATTTGCGAAAAAAACAGAAGTTTGGAACCTGTATCTATATTCAAATAATATTCTGAAGCTTCAAACTCTCCTTTGAGTACATTCACAATATCTCTGGCAACCCTCTGTGGAGGTATGGTGATTATATTCCATCATAGCATTCGTAGCTAGATTTTCAATATGTTTTGTCCCTTGTACCTACATGAATTTCGACAACCACCTGAAATGTTCAATGAATTGTGTATCTGAATATAATGGCGAAGTATTCCCATCGTTATCCTCCATTTTTCGGATTATCTAACAAAAGTTAGAATCATCAGATTAGGCACAATATTTTCAGCAACTTCAGCAAGGAACTCCTTCACCACTGCTTCCCGAAGAAGAAGAAGAACTACTACTACTTACTATCAAATGAATGTACTAAGTCCATAATATTGAGAAAATATTGAAGAAAGCAATAAACAGTAGAATAAAGAAAAATATATCATAATGGCGTTACGCTACAACAGACAGAATCGAAAACTAAATGAAATGAACATACACCAAAAATGATCCCAGAACGGTTCACGCTCGAGAGCCGGTACTGGTTTCGGATAGTTCTAGGACGATTCTGAAGGAACCCGAACGCGTAAAGAGTCAATCCTAGAACAGTTCCACAAAATCCGAACGCGACCGATTTTACTGCGCAAACTCCTGACAGTTCTAGAACAGTTTCTGTTCGAACCCGAATGAACCTTAAGCTAGCAGAACCACATTGGATTTTTAAATTTGTTCTTCGGCCATAATTTGAGGCTAATTCAAGGCTTATTTATTACCCTATTGCCGAATTCATAGCAAAAAAACGTGGGTTCTGCTAGCTTAAGGTTAAGCCGAAATTGGGAACAAATCAGGTATGCGTCCCAACCCAAATAACCAATCGTAACCCTTTTCAGTTGCTAGCTGTATCTTTTTCAGCAGCAATATTTTATCAATGCATATCTGTTCCTATCGCCATATTTTGTTCCAAATAATCCACCCTTAGCCTATGTCCCAATAGTTATGACTCACCTGTATACATTGTACAGCCCATAATTTGAACCTGGTAATCAATGATGCAGTTCCAGGGGTGGAGGAAGTTGAAAGTTTCAATACTTTCTTCATTATCATTGGTGATTCGGATCGAGTGTAAACAAATAGGACCTCTTGGCCCATTTTTCTGGAGAATCTGTAATAAAAACTGAAGAGGCCGAATCCTACTCAGCGCTTTATTAGCAGTGAAACTGCGATATGTCGATATAAAAAATTATATGGCTATTTTTTGAAACTCCCTCATAATTTTTTTGCTTGGGACCCTAAATGATTCCTAATGACGAATTTCTTGTGATTATATCAATTCATTCAGCACAGTACAGGGTGGGCAAATTTGAGCGTTTTCATAGGCTATCTCAGTAACTGAAGGAGTGATCAAAAAATCAATATACATGTTACGGGTTCGATTTTAGAGAAACCTTGAATGGTACAATTGGAATTTTGATACCTTCATTCGTTTCAGAGATACAGGGGGAAATTGAAAGATTGCCGATTTTGTTTTTATTTTCTGAGTACTTTATGAAGAGAAATATTAGAAACTTTCAAATTTTCATTCATATAGAATGATGCGTAGAATCCATTGGCATCATCAGAAATTTTATACAGGGTGACATCAAGAAGATACACACACTGACTATATTTTTGCGAATATTTCTGAAGTTGTCGATGAAAAAAGTTGGCTAACATATGTATATTTGAATATGGAATGCCTAGGACTATCCAACTATGCTGAAATACACGGGGTGATTCATAAGAAAACAAATATTTGACTACCGTATCGTCTTGATGTCACCCTGTACAAAATTTCTGATGATGCCAATGAATTCTACGCATCATTCTATATGGATAAAAATTTGAAATTGTTCAATATCTCTCTTCATGAAGTACTCAGAAAATAAAAACGAAATCAGCAATTTTTCAATTTCCCCCTGTATCTCTGAAACGAATGAAGATATCAAAGTCCAATTGTACCATTCGAGGTTTCTTTAAAATCGAACCCGTAACAAGTATATCGATTTTTTGATAACTCCTTCAGTTACTGAGATAGCCTATAAAAACGACCAATTTTGCCCACCCTGTACATTCAATTGAGCCAATTTCACTCATATCTTCGTTTCTTCGCTGTAATGATATGACGTAGGCCGTCGAACCCGGTATCATTATATATATTCGTGAAGATAAGCCTTATCCTAATATGGAATGATAAGTTCGGTAAAAGTGGATTCAAGTTTTACTCATAGGTATATAGTCATGAATATTTCTGATTTATATATTTAGATTGAAGAATTGACGAAATTGACGTGACCGAGGTGTTTAGCAAAGCCAATTTATTCCTTTATTTAACACATGTTTTATGATTTACAGTGTAAAATGGAATGAGCACGGTAATTTGTCATCGTTAGCATAGATATTTGTCACTATAATTGTCACAAATTATAATTGCAATTGTCTAGGGAAAAAAAGTGAAGTAATTAGTGTACTCATTATTTTCAATTTTCGCAAAAAAGAATCAGTATGTTGATACAGGAATATTTCAAATTTAATCAGTACCTATCCAATTCAGCAGAGCGTAGACAGAATCTTCCTGTAGGTGTCGAATAATAAAATACATATTATGAAGAATATACATCAATACTTATGATTGATGAAAAAATGTTTATTGTTTTTAATTTCTTGAGTCTACATAGGGTGACTGTTTATATTTTACTAAATAGATATCTCAGTTGATATTGGTCTTACGAAAACGACAAACATTTTGTTATTCTATCACCTCAGAGAATCACCCGGTATATTGAATATATTGGAATAATAAGTAGGTACTCATAATTTCATTTGAATAAACGAGGAGAAAGAATTCCTAAAAATCTAGCGTCTAAAAAAATATTTGGGTTTCCTACTCCTGAGACCTAATTTCTCTTGTATCAAAACTGATGAAGTGAATTTCCTGACTACCTACTGTAAATTATCAATTTCTTTGGGGAAAAGAGTCATTGTATTCAAACCAAAGAGTCAGAGTAATTTGTAGTAGATAAACCAGCGTTAAGCAGACCTTCCGAATTTCAATCGCAATTTCCTTATTTGTGCATCATTTCGATGGAACTGTTTTTTCATTGTCAGTATTATATTTCCAATCGAAGCGAACACAAGGCGATGGAGAAAAGATAGTTAGGTGAAACCAGAGATTATACACTACCACAGAAATAGTGAGGTCAGAGATTATTGAAGATGATCGTAGTGTAGTTTTACCGACAAATAGCTTATTAACAACAAATTTGTTTATAACGTGGAAAGAGGACTGTGAAAGCTGTCAAGAGGGGTCGGCTGAGTATGTGGAGAGGGCGTCCGAACAGTTTGCAGTCCCGTTCACCACCTTGAGACATTGATAGCTATTTTCATTTCATGGAGTTTTTTTTTGTTAGGAACCAATTTATAATTTTTTAAAATGCATTTATTGATCCTCTCCACCCATATTGACATGTTCGAAGTGATATTCAAACATTTGAAAAGTACGATATAGATGTATAGAAGAGGTATTAGAAACATCTCAAGTATCATCAAGTATGATCCTCTCCACCCCAAAACGCTGGGTGAAGTGAATCACACTTTTGAATTAAAAAAAAAAATTCGTTTATGATAGTTGCGTTTTAATTTTTTTCACCAAGTTGTAGACATTACGGGAAGGATATTTACGAATCATACATATTTTATAGCCGGGCCGACGATGTATCGTGAAACTTTGAGAGAATAGCAGTATCATTCAGTGAACGTTTTCTAGAAGTCGTATAAAAATGTGCACTGTATAATATGTTTTTATTAGTTAGTTTAGTAGTTAAGGTTGATTGGCAGAATGCACTCATCTGTTCCTTTAGGGATTAGACTGATCAGAGGATCAGACAAAAGCTAACTACTGCCCTTTGGTAAAAATTAGTGCTGTGTGATATTGAAAACTGGATATTGATATCGATGTATGCTTTCGTATCGATATTTATCGATATATCGATATGTATATCAATATTTCGATATGTACTGAAATATTTCGATATACCGATATGTATCGATATATATCGATATTTTCTTCTCATGATATCGATAACTTGATACTAGTGTCTGGAGACTGAACGCATCAAATATTGCGAGCGATTCCGGCCGACGAGACGAGACGCGCTACAATATTTGGTGCATCCTGTCTCTAGTGGCTTGTCTACTAGTAAACAACACAGAACTCAAAGACCCAATCGAAAATATGACTTGAAATTGTTGTTTTATTCATGAAATAATGAGTGGAGTAATCTTAACAAATTCAACTCGTTTCATCGATGATTATCGAAAATTCCTACTCTTTTTCGAAACAAATTATGTTGCCTTTAGGCAACCACACATAATTTTTTTCTCAAAATCGGAGGGATTTGTATTATAATAATCATCAATACAAAATTGTCGTAATACATATGAAGGTTCGAATGGGGATTCTCCCACAATCGAATCCTTGTCTAAAAATTAATTAGTTGAATATTTCAAGGACATATTGTTGGAATCAACATACTTTTTCTTCATATAAACATGTGCTACAACCCTCCTCCAACCCCCGAAACTCGGTTAACATAATTTTTGAATAAAAGAAGAGGAAGAGTGACTAACATAATAGGGCCAATTTTCAGACGATTTGATCCGTTATTATAATGCCAATTTCAGATAGTAATACATCCTTGAAATAATCACATCGAGTTTTGAACCACCCTGTATGTAGGATACTACAAAATGTACATTTTTTTTTTACTTTCAATATGAAATAGTAATTTTGTGTTCTTTTTTTCTAGAGTTTGGGCGTCGTTCTCTACGTTTTAGTATGTGGCGCCCTACCTTTTGATGGATGTTCCCTACAAGCCCTTCGTGACAGGGTACTTTCCGGTAGATTTAGAATACCATATTTTATGAGCTCAGGTGAGATATCCATTGCGAATCAACTAAAAAAGTGCAAATAATTGAATCAGTAGGAAAAATATATCATAGTTTGCTCATTAGAAGTAACAATAGCTGTGAAACGTAGGTATATTATGCACCGCCTGGATTTCATTGATGATGAAATTTGAAGGATTGATCTTCAAAAGGTGTGGGAGTTATCGGAATAATTAAGTATTTCATATTGAACTCAGCAACATGCTTGAGTCAAACACAAATTCCCAAAATATTCGGTTTTTCCTATACTTCTTTCTTCCAATTAACGAAACATTTCTTCTCGGAAACTGACCAAAAATTGACTCTACCGTCCACATAGAAATTTTATTACACTGATATTTTGAATTTAGTTAACTGAAGTAGTTCCTTCTGATAAAAAATGAAGTGTTTATTATTCAACTTACTCCACCTTTGGTAATTCTAGTGTATGTGTCTAGTATTTCTGTTGAGCTTTCGATCTAGTGTGTGATAAAATGCTCGCCGACTTTAAAATTTGTCTCGAACGATTGAAGCTAACGGTCCTGACGGAATACTATACCCATACCTATTATTCTCAAAAAGTGTGCACATCGATTCTTTGCAAGATATTTACCATCTCGTACAAGTCGAGTACTTTTCCATATTGCTGGAAAACAGCTATAGAGTTCAACCATACCCCAAAAAGGAAAAAAAACTGTTAACTAATAACTAACTATGATCCTATTGCCTTTGTTATCGGTTATCAGTTATCTCCAGAGTGATGGAGGAATCATATTGAGCTTATCAAATATCTGGAGATCTCAGAGATCATCAATGTTAGACAATATGGCTTTCGCCATCGGAGATCTGTTGGCCTACGTCATTCACATATGGCAAGCTTCCTTAGTTTCCTAGAAAAACATGGGGAATCTCTAGCTATCGTGTTGGATATATCAAGAGCCTTCGACCGTATTTGGCACCAAGGACTCCTCCACAAACTACCATCATACGGGATTACCACCTCAGCCATCTTTCATCGAGTTTTCTTTCAGGCAGACGGAGTATCGTCTGACACAATTGCCATCAATTCTGGTGTTCCACAAGGAACAATTTTGGCACCAACAGATTGTACCTGCTTCATATCAATGATCTGTTGGGAGCAACAACTTGCCCTATCCACAGCCTTGCAGACAATAGTAATCTCCATACTACGTTCTCTTCTAGAATTCCCGTTTCTTCCCAGGAAATCAAGAACTTGCGACGAAGACAGATCAACGCTGTCAATGATGATCTTGCTGGAATTACAGCCTGTGCAACCAGCAAGCTGCTTCACAAAATCTCGGATTTTATTCCGTGCGAAAGGCTACTTTACACCTCAACAACATGATCTACAAAGCACAGATACGATCTGTTCTTGAATACTGTTCCCACACATGGGGTTCAGCACCCAAACATACGCTGATGCTCTCACACTCACAAACTTCTTGACATCATTGGAACACTGTAGAAAAGTCGGCAACCTTTTACTTTTCTATAAATACTTCCAAGGGAAATGTTCTTCAGAAATCTCTGCTATCATTCCATCACTAGCAATACCAGTCAGACGAACTCGACAAGCCCAGTCAGCACATACCTTCCCTGTCAACCTCCATATACTATTATGTCGAACGGCACTTTATCGAAATTTTGTCTATAGAACGGCAAGAGTTATAATCCCCAGAAGTTCAGAAAAAAATCAAAACCCACTTCCCCTTCCTATCCTACATTATAGGGATCCCCTTTCGTGTGCTCCAAGCGATAAAAAAATTACAGTGCCTTCAAGGTTTTTCAAACTCCTTCCGCAACTCCCGGATGCATCCTTTGATGAGATCGAAAATGTGCTGATGTGAGTCGGCATTTCACGTTTGATGATTGTGAGTCAAGATTTGAGGAATATTTCAAACCTTGTCATCTCACGAGTACGATAATCTATATGGAATGAGAAATAATTAAGTCGTCGGTATTAGATATATGATCAAAGTTTACAAAGACTGAAAGTTAAGTATCCATGCTCCAATGAAAAATACTATCGGAAATTCCTATCAGCGAATTATCGATTCCTATAAATAAAACATTTCCACTCGTAATAACCATAGATCGTCATAGTGGAAAAGCTGGAAAGATTAAATTTGGATAACATATACAAAACGTTCTCATGTCACCATATTATGATCTGATATTCAGCGTCTATGACGCAAAAAAGATATTTCAGGATCCCTGAATTTATTTTCGTGAAGCCGTGAATAACGTTTTTATTGGAAAAATATAGATAAGGCGTCGAAAATAATTTTTCGGGTAAATATCGAGGAACTTTGCATTCCTGGTGTTTTGTTGATATCGTCATGTGAAATGAACTGGTTTTGGTATTTCGGATAATTTCAGGAATAATACTCTCACAAACTCTATCAATATCGTACACTATGTGAATAATGTATCCATCTGCTGCATGGCGGATCTACATTAGGGCTTTATAGGTTGCAGTTCAGGGCCCCCAGCCTCCGTTTAAAATAATGGACAATAGTGAATAATAAAATCTAGAATTCTAGAAATTCTCATCTCATGCTTCAAAATTAACGTAACATAGCAAAACACATAACCGTTATTTATCCATTTTGCAATAATGTCTTTCAATTGTTGTTTGTGTCTGCAGGTAATTTTAATTGTTATATTCAACAGACTAGTGTATTAATGAGTGCGAGATCATTATTCGCCTTATTGATTATAATAGTTGGTTTCAAAATTGTTCCGTCGACCATATCTCTCCTATTATACATCAGGAAACTACTAATAATCTCCCAGTAGCCATATGAAAACCAACTTGCCACTGACGTTAGTGACGTTTAATATTTGTCGTAATTATCAGGATGGCAAATAAATTCCTTTTCTCTATGACGAGAAAAAGGTTTGACATTTCATCTTCGTTGACAGGATATAAAATGTAACTTTTCATAAATTACTTTTTTCCCACGGGAGAAAAGTTAGTACTTTTTTCTCGGATATATATATAATGTTGTTGGCTTTTGTTGTGCTAGTGATGCTTCCCTCACAAACTCACTCACTTCTCTGGAACACCGTAGAAACGTTGGCGATCTGGTTCGTGGTCACTTTGGAGACCTGCAGAACATCTCTTTCCACCGCTGTTCATCCAACGAACAGCGAGGCTCTGGAACACATTGCCAAGGGAGGTGTTCCCCGAGGCATATAACCTCCAGAAATTTAAGAAGAACACCAATTCATACCTTATTTCCCTTGGTTCTTACGATGTTCTCTGATATCCCATTCCGTGGGACCCAGAACTGAAAAATAAGCCAATAGCACCGGCTCCGAGAAAGAACTGTAATTCCGTTCATCTTCCATTTCACTTCGCGGTTACTGAAATGACTAATCAACCACTAACTTCGTTTTTTAAAATCAAATTACAGAATTAGACAGATATTTGATTCCTGTTAAAAACTTCGAATTTCACGTTGATAATTTTCTGATTTTAATATAATGTAAAATCTTCTCAATATTGATTCGTTCTTTATCCTGTCACAGAAAAAATACTGTATTATACACGGAAAAAATATTATATTTGAGCGACAACACAACCTCGAACTAAAATTTACAACTTGTTTTCCTTGTATAATACTACTAGCTATGTGCGAATCTACAGTATATATTTTTTGTATATTTATTTCATTTTTTGTGCTTACCTATAGCTACTAATATATAATTACTTACACCATCTTACACGCATTTTCAGTCTCCCAGTATCTTTCGTATTTTTTACGTATTAAAAATTTAAAGCCTATCGGTCAGGTCGTTTAGTAGTTGACTCAAGTACCGACAGCAGCCCCACACCTACCGCGTACAATTATATTTAAATCATCCAGGAAACTATCGAAATACCTGAAATACCCATATGAAATTTAGAAATTTCAACCCAATTGGTTCATCGGTTTAGAAGTTATGTGGAAAAGATAAGTACGGAAGGATATTACTAAAAAGTAGCCAATGGTCATCAAGGATAATGTCGGCCTCTCATGGTAAAAGAATTTCAAATCGGTCCACCAATATTAAAATATTGGTGGACGATCCTCAAATAGTTGCCGTCAACAATATAAGATAAAAAAATTGGTGGTACGGAAATACACGCGATTTGTCAATTTTAAAACCCCCCATCCTTAATGTCTCCCTTCAAGTGAATAATATGCAAAAACAAGAAGACAGCTCAATTTTATTTTCAGAGGGGACACTGAATGAATATTTTTGAACCTCATGGGTCAACCCCCTAGGAGGGGTAGATGTTACCCTTAGAATATGAATAGGGAAGAGGGGTCAAGTGGCACATCATTTTGAAGGGATTTTTTGTGTTGGTTATATTACTTTGAACTGATCGAAATGTTGTCCGTTTTGTTCTAAACAGTAATAAAGTCTGTTTTCGAACTCCTCTCTAACATTTTGGAAAACTTCACCACGAATTGAGCGGCATGCTGCTGTAATTCGTCCTTTGAGTTCATCAATATCCGTCGGTTGTGTTTTATAAATAACGGATTTAAGGTGTCCCCAAAGGAAAAAATCTGAAGGAGTCAAATTCGGTGATCTCGGAGCCCACTCGATTGCTCTCTTTTTCTGCCAATCCATCTATCCGGGAATCTATCGTCTAACCAATGTCGGACGGGAAGAAAATAATGAGGTGGAGCACTGTCCTGCTGAAAATGTAACAGATCCTCCTGCTAAAGTAAATTACCGTCTGCATCAATTTGATTTTCTAGTTCGTGAGTTATAAGAGTATAGATAGTACCTTCAAGCATATCTAGGTACATATTGCCAGTCAAGTTTTCTTGAATAAATAAAGGACGAACAATTGCATTTCCAAGAATACCAGCCCAAACATTAATTTTTTGTGATTGTTGTGTATGTCCTTCTCGAAAAATGTGAGGGGTTTTCGTCACTCCAATAGCGACAATTTTGTCTATGAACATTTCCATTCAGAAAAAATGAGC